CTCCAGTCCCCACCCACCAACCACAACTTGCCAACCACTCTCTCTCTCTCTCTGTAACAACAATATTGCTCAAGCCCCAACCCAAATAACCCCAAACAACATAGAGCTTTGTCCCCGCGCTCTCTCTCTCTTTGTGCCTGTTATTGGATCTCATTCGCAACCTTAAACACGCACACTTCCACACTCGTTTCTTGTCTGATCACATCAAATTCCCACCCCACTCTCTCTGAACCCAACAAAAAAATTGGCCAATTTTCCAACCCATCATCAAACCGCACTATTTAGGCCCACCCGGGTCAGATCTGAACGACATCGGCGAAATTTATTGTGCATTTTCATTACCAAATGGGAATGCCCAGTAAACGATGAGCAAAGCCCGAGGGGAAGAAGAAGAAGACACCGAGTGCTTCTACAACTCTCTTGGCGAGCTGTGGTTCGTGGGAGGGAACTGGAGTTTGGGTTGGGATAAGGGGAAGAAGAAATCGGGCACCAAGGGGGGCGGGGGTAGGGGATGGGTTGGGGTTTTGGGTTCATTTGGGGTTGGAGGGTGATGGTCAGTGGGAATGGGGGAAAAGAAAATCGAAGAGGGGGGCATTGGATGGTTGCGGGATAGAAGGAGAGCATATAGAGAGAGAGGGAGTTTATTTAGAGATTTTCTATTTAAACCCCACACTTCTCTTAGTTCACCCCATGTTCTAAGTTCACTCCAAGTTTTAATTTAAATTTTCACAATTTCTAAGAAAACCCCACTATCTTCCCAAACTACCCTTAAATACACCCCAAACTGAAAAAATAAGAAATAAAAGAAATTTTCTATTTAAACCCCACAAACTACCGTTAGAGAGAGGAATTATGTTCTGCGCATGAGAACTTTTGTAATGCCTTCAAGAAAGTGTATTAACCCAATACACAATAATAAAGAGATCCTTCATCACTCACATAATGCAATTTCAGAAGAAAGGGAAGTTTGTACTTATTAATTGGGTTTCAAGAGAACGCTTTTTGGCTGTGGGATAGCTGCTACGTGTTAGCAAAACTATGCCAACTTCCCTACTTTATATCCTATTTGTATATACATTTTTGTTGATCAGAATGTGCATGGTATACAATCAGAATGGACTTCCTTTCGTTTGTTAGGTGGACAGCAAACTCCTGTTCCATGGACTCTTTGTATGATATAGACCTCATATCAGGCACTGTATCAGTAATTTTGGACAATTCAAAAATGTGGTATCAAGTGGTGGCAACAAGTATGAAGTTGGGAGGTAGAGGAGCTGCCCATGTGGAAGGAGGAAATCGTGTTGATCTCAGGGAGAACAGTAATCTGGCAATACGATGTAGAGGAGTTTGTATTTTCTAAAACTTAATATAAGAGTGGTGGGGTGTGTGGGGTGTGTGTATAGATGTACTAGGGTTAAGTATTAAGTTGGATGACCCTTTTTGTCTTTTTACACAATAATAAAACTTACAGCTTAATGATTTAAGTATTGGGGTGAACAAAGAGAAGTACGGGGTTTAAATAGAAAATCTCTTTATTTATCCCTTTTTTGTTTTTAATATTTTAATATGGGACTCATAGTGCCACGTAGGCAACTAACGGAGAGATCTAACAGAAACTTTAACAGTGCGTTTGGATGAGGAAATTTCAAAGTACAAGGGATTTCATAAATGAAGGAATTTAAAATGAGGGAAATTAATGTTTTAGAATTTATAAAGTTTCTTATTTGGATGACGGATTTAAAACACGGAATTTAACCTTTATTTGTAAAGCTATCTTTTCTAAAAACTCAATATCTCTTGGGATTTTAGAAATAACAACTTTTAGATAGAATTTAAAGGTGGGATTTATGACATCCAAATTCCATGTTTTTTCCCACGCGGAATTTCTAAATTTTTATGTTTTTTTTATCCAAACACGGGAATTGGTTCATGTCAATTTAGAAATTCAAACTTTTGTCAAAATCCCAAGTTTATTTCCCTCATCCAAATACGCCATAATGGTGGAAACACATTGTAACAAATTTAAAAGATAAGGGTATGTTATTGTAAAAATTAAGACAGTAGAAACTAACATGTCTTAAAAGTGTAACCACATGGTATTAAACTGTAATTAACCCTAAAATAAAAAATAATAATAATAACATTTGTTGCGTAGCTAGTCTCCACACTATTGCAAATGTTGGCGAGTAGCTCCTTAGCCATGCATTCTCAACGAGTGAATGGGAGATGTCTTTGCTTCACGTGGAACCTGATTGGGTTACATGGGCTATAACCACAAGAGATAGTTTAAACTACAAGAGGGAATGAGGTTTCACACGCACACATACACACTATCAAAGTGCCATGAAGATTCGAACTTGAGACCTCTAATCTGCAAATCAAGACTATTTTTCATTGAGCTCCCCGTTCATTATGTTCTTCGATAAATATATCCTTTGGTGTTTTGCCCTCTGAATTTTTCATCTCTTGGTAGGATGGTGGAACGAACTTTTTCACTTCCTGGTGATCAATAATATGATTCATTACATGTGGAACTAGCAAACATGAAAAACTAACCTAACAACTTATTTGTTTACAATATATAAATATCAATGTTTTTATCTCACAAATAAAAAAGATTGTAACGAACTTGTAACTCAAGTAGTTAAGAGCATTTACACATACGCCTTACTCACTTATACATTCTATCTCTTATGTATCATTCAACCCAAAACTCAAGAGTTACAAGCTAAAATTTAAGGGAGGAACCTGTCTTTGTACTAGTCGACCATCTTTTTCATCCGGATTAAACTTTAACATATGCGTCCAAATAAGCGTATATATATACAGAAATTGTCATATGCGGACATCTGAACGTTATTATCGTGCGGACGCCATGTATTTTGTATTACCCCTTCCTGCTTTCCTGCCTGTTAACATCCGCACAATAATAACATGCGGACATATCCGGATAAAAGAATATATATATATATATATATATATATATACACAAACACATACATAGACATACATACATACATAAACAAACACATACATATATACATACACATATTGTAATATAAAATATAAAAAATAAAAATTTCCTACATTATTTTTTTAAAAGGGAGGGAGAGACGGATTACCTTAAACCATGATAAGTCTCGTTTCATTTGAATGGTAGATCTTGACCCGGTATTTAATTGATTTGATGGAGCTAACTTCGCCGCTAAATGTAGTATGTTGTTGTTCTTATCATCTTTAAACGAGAGCACGATATTCTTATTTAAACCCAGCTTTTGTGCCTGACTGAATATGCTTGCCTGATGGTATGCGACTGCGATGTGGAATAAACTCTGATTGCTGTCATCTGTTTCCCATATCAAATCAGGATAAGAGCCAATAAGCTCAGCCACGAACTTAAAGTTTCCCAGCTTTGTTGCCATAAATAGTATATGTGAAGGCCTTCTTATAACGTCGATAACAGTCGAGTCATTTTGCCATAAAACTTCTTCCCAAAGACATTTCAGTAATTGACAGCAGGGCGTTCTTGTCAAGTTTCTCTTGTTTGTACCTGGAACAAGTCGAAAGCAAACTAGATTTTTTGTTTGAGTATGAACGTCGGTATGGTGAACTTATGAAAATGAATATTCCTTCTTATTGTCTAACTTGTCAAAGTTAAATGTAATTGTATAAGCTTCAATTTCTCTACTGTTTTCCCTTTAATTATGGGGTTTGTCAACTTTCAAACTTGCATCACAATATATATCTAAACAACTTGTACGTACAACCTAGGAATATTGATGCTAACCTTAATTTTTCAAACATGAATAACAAAAAGGTTGTGATAACGTGAAACACAAATAACTCTATTTTGTCACAGACTCATTCAACTATATAATGGAAGGCTGGCAAATAAGCAGGATGAGCATGAGTGATAGGTTTGGTTTCCAAAACAAGGGATTAGCCCTAAGTTTCTAGTTTACCAAAATACATATGCTAGTCAACATGATAAATTCAATTAGGTTAGCGTAATTCCCCTAGCATCACTAATTAAACATGTTAGAGTTTATTAGTATTCTACATGAATATGAAATGGTATGAGATCAACATGATAAGACAAAACTCGGGCTATCACCCTTATTGATTAAAGTCATGCTAAGAGTAGTAAAGAGGTGCAATGAGTGAGAGAATTACAAGAATAAAGGAAGTTTTTCAATATTCTTGAAGTTTTGATGGCGAATGCTGAAGGCTTCTGAGCCAACAAATGCAATGCTGTCTCACCATTCGCGTTGCGAACCACTGCAAGCTCCGGATAGTCTTTAAGCATTTTCAATGCTAGTTCTGCATAGTAAAAAAAACAGTAACACTGTTAATTGGAAATGAAGATTCCTAATTATCCGTACACAGTTTACTTAATATATTCCAAAAGCTGAAGAAACTTTCGGCCACCACATTTTTAAATTCCGTCGGCAATTCTCTGAATGACCTCAAAAGATTGTTTTTCTTGTCTATACAGTGGTTTGCCGATGATTGCATGTATTTGGCCTATATATCTTAAGGACATGTATCCAATAAGGGGTCATACGTAGTAATTGTCATCGATAACAAAATCAATTGTTAATAGACATGTTAACATGCTTACCGTATAAACCGTTGTTAATGCAGCTGAAAAATATCCCACCTCTTTCCCCCTCATTAACAAGTTCTATGAGTTTAGGGTAGAGATACAAAGCCATCTTGCCATGTCCAAACAAAGCAGCATAATAGAGCGGTGACAATCCTTGACCTCCCCAAATTTCTAGCAGCCTTGGATTCTTTTGCATCAAAATCTTAGCCACTGGTACGGTTCCAGCTGCAACAGCATGATATAAGGCTGTATTGCCCTTTTGATCTTGTAATTCTAGGTCGCGTTTGTCCAACTGTTTCAGCAACTCCTTCACAAAGTGAACTTGTTTTGCTCCTGCGGCAACATGAAGAACAGTCTGCCATCCTTTCGTGATAGATGCACGTAAAAGAGTTTCATCTTCAATCATGATTCTACTAGCCGCTTCCCAGTCACCTTCTACCGCAGCCTTGTATAGGGGCACGCATTTTTTGAAGTATTTTTGTTTTGCATTGGCTGTAAAGATTTGATAACACATGGTTATATAATATGTAACACAAGAACACTTCCACTAGTTGGTTGTAGTTGAACATAAACTAAACAGCCATGAAAATAAAATTTAATTAATGTGTTCTTTTGCAGTAGCCAGATTACTTATTTCTGTGCAAAATTCTATGAACAGAATAGAACACTAAACACTCGTATTAAGATGCAAAATTGTACCACCGCATTGGTTGTACAACAATGCAAGAAACGATTATTTTAATTACTCGGAATAGTTTTTAAAGAGAGAGATCTTACGTGAATCTTCCAGTGCATCAAGAGATGGTGTTTTAAAAGAAGCTGACACCGGCTGCCAAGCTGGCGAGGTAGAATCTTCATCAGAGACTCCATGTGCATCGCCTGTTTGTAATATAATTTTTTCATGATGTGATTCCTTTGACAGCGGGCAAGGTGTTGAGCTGAAATCTTCTGCCACCATTTCGTCGGATACTATACCTGCCATTCAAGAAACAAGTTAGATTGCTGAGTTCAAATTGCATATATATTTCATTTATTTATAGATATTGATGGAGCTTTCTAAGAGCTCCTAATAATTTTTATTTAAATTTTGCTTGGACAGAAAGGAAAGGAAGTCTTACAACTTTTAAGAATTAAGGAAATACTTCATTTTCATACTACCAATTTATATCACTGATCACATTAAGTTTTGTGTCAATGCGACAACACATACGTACGATGTTTACGATATTACACTTTGAATCTAAACCATTTATGTACAACTTTTTAAGCAATATGGTGCATTAGTAAACGAGTCAGGATCAGTAACTACTAACCTTTTATATTTCTCAAGTAATATATATATATTACAAGAAAATACATTCGTGGCACAAAATGAGATGGCTAAAATATTTTAGGTGTCTAATAGCTAGAAATATATGCCATGCTTTAATACGATAATGCTACTTTTCTAATTATAATATAGTAATTACTCCTTTCATGATAACCACTCTTCTAAGATATACTAATTCCTGTCGGTTTTATTCGGCTGCTTATGTGTAAGAGCATCTCATGTTCATATAAAATATTGGTTTACTTAGGGTACACGTCACACCTACCTATTAAAAGACAAGACTCGTGTTGATAGGAACAATGAATTGAATATAAAGACTATCAGGAGAATTAGGTAACGTAGTTCGCTAATATGATTAGAAAATATGATTTATCTAATCGCTTTTTATAAGGTTTTTCTTTGTAAGGTAGGTATTTCTTTGTATGATTCATCTTCTTTAGAGTAGTTTAAATTATCCTCTAGTAAATTTAGGCTACATAAAATTACAGGGAGTTTGGTATCCTATTCAAATAGGGAACTCAAAAACTTTTATTTCTCTTAAAAACAAGGAGTTCTTAAATCTATTTTTAATATTCAAAAAGTTGTTTGGTATGCAACTTGAAAACTGTTTTTCAAATCTTAAAATTTTGAGAACATGTGAGTTGTTAGAAAAAAAAAACTGAGAAAATATATATTTTTTTGTTTTTAATAATTGGGGTGTTTTTTTAATTGTTCTTGAGTTTGAGTTTTTAAAAATAGGGCTACCAAACAGGTTTTTTTTTTTTTTTTTTTTTGGACTCAAATTCTGTTTTTGAGTTTAAAAAATTAAATTCAAGTTGAATACAAAACATGCCCTTAGGGTCTTTTTATCTTTTTCGAAACTGTACTCAATTTCCTTACTTTCTTTCACTCCATCACATTTATTTTGTTGTGGGTCAAATCCCTAAACAAATTTCAAAACTTGATTGGTCAGATTTTGTGGGCAATTCAAAATACCTCCTATTTTTTGTGATTTATTTGTCAAAAGAGTTTTGTGGAATTCAATGCCAATACCTAAAATTGAATACACAATAATTTACATATTATCACCACCAAGGATTCTTAGGTATGTTGGGTTCTATTGTGGTTGTTTTATGGAGAAGGCGACTGGTTTGCTCTATGCAGTCAAGGGAGAGATATATTTATATGTATAAATGGTTTCCAATCTCCTGAAACCACCTACTCAATTTTGTTTCCCAGAATGCCCTAATTTTACCTCCCATTAGAAACAAAACAAAATAAAATTGAAAAAGAATACCCACCCACTCGACAGCTGCCACCCCATCACCTTCGTCGCTTATGTCGGTCCCTTTCCTTTTTTATTTTTTTCATTTTTTCTAGGGCTAAAGATCATTGCATTCCAGCCAACCATCCAACAAAAACAAATAAAAAATAAAAAAAAAAGGAAACCAACCAAAACAAGGAGGCAAAAAGCCTCGAGAGCAGAACCAGCATCAACAAAAGCAAACAAAACACCACACCAGCCCCTCCCTCTATTTATCTTATCTTTTGTCGATAAAAAAAAACTATAGATTAAAGATAATAAGGAACTACAAAAGTATCTGTTATAAAAAAATCGGCTAAAATCACTTTTGATCCCTGTAGTTTGGCTCTTCAACCACTTTTGACCATGCAATTTCAATTCCGTCAATTTTGACCATGTGATTTCATATTTGTAGCAATTCAAAAACAAGTTAGTATTCTTTTCAATTTCTTTGACAATGCAATGGGCAATTTCATCAACCCAAAATCCTTGAGCATAAAATCTCGTCTGAATATCCCCTAATTTCATATTAGAGCTTGAAATTGGTCATTTCGGTTTAGGGTTCTTCAAAAATTGGGATTAGTGGTTGAATTTCGAGCCTTAATATTAAATGGGGAGAATTTCAAATAAGTTTTTATGCTCAAGGGCTTTGGGTTGACGAAATTGCCCCTAGCATCGTTTAAAAAATTGACAAAAATACTAACTTGTCCTTAAATTGCTACAAATATGAAACTACATGGTCAAAATTGATGGAATTGAAACTACATAGTCAAAAGTGGTTGAAGTGCCAAACTATAAGGACCAAAAGTGACTTCTAGCCTAAAAAATCTTGAATGTTATTGAGAGGCTCCCAATAGAAGGTACTCATTTTTAGTGTTTCTTAAAAAGTACATTTTCGTATATTTATTACATCATAACTAGATGTCTTAATGATTTTTGATTTGTCTACTGTTTTTCAATGACGATTTATGAATGAAGACTTGAAAAATAAACGGTGCAGATCATTAAAAATAGTAGAGAGTGATCCCATAAGGTAACCCGAAAATATTTCCTCCATATAGAAGGGGACTCTAGATATAGTATGAACTATATCTGGAACTTTTGAGATAAACACCCAGTAAAACAAGTGAAAAATCATATGTATCCAACTATGAGGATTCTCCTATTGTGCGGTTACATTTTTCAGAAGAAAACATGATTGATAATCACAGAGGAAATACCAGCTAAATGAAAGGCTAGCTAGCTCTTCCTGTGATGATGATTGCAGAGGAATAACGCATACCTGGAAATGTGTCGTTTCCGACAATCGACCTCCTGCACTACATGACCAGCAGACGGAAAGAGGAGAGAGCGATCCGTGACTGTACAGTGCTGTTGTCCTGCTGAGGTTTGTCTTCGATAGAAAAAAAATACACGAATTTCTCTGTTAGACTGATGAAGGAAAAAGACCTCCAGAAACCAATAAAAGGAAATGAAAGTACGTGTATACCACCAACCATATTGTTTTTCTCAAATTTTTTATTTGTTGCTATGCTTAAACACCACTAATCAACTTGATAAGTATAACATATTGTGTTTTCAATATTTGGGTGTTTACCTCATGCATAGGTACATAATTTCATGTGGGTGCTTATTTCATCGATTAGTATAATATCTGGGTCTTTACTTTAATTGATTAAATTGTATTTTATCCATATATTAGGTAAATATTCACAAAGGAAAGAATTTAAATTTTAAAATTCAACTACAATGAAATAATATGCATTAAATTGGATTTTCGATGTGTTTCCTTATTTACTTAAAAGGGTAAAATCGATACAACAAAAAAAGTAATAAAAGTCAAAGGATCTGCATCTAAAACCAAAACGACGAGGACTTGGCCTAATGACAACTAATCATTTTGAAACTAGCTAGATCTAAAAAGCCCTAATATTTAAAAGTCAATTATGGAACTTCTAGTATCCAGTGCAATACTATTTGTTTTGCCGCCCACGAGTAAGTTTTACACTTTATATAACTGCTACTTGATGTAAATAATACACATATAATCAACACTATACATATAATATACATAAACAAGTAATATCAGGTGCTCATTATCATATTCCAGTCAATCATACAGAGTTCTCCAAAATTGCACATTAAAGCTCCGTTTAGTTCGCGGAAATGATTTTCCAAGGTCACGGCCATCATAGTAGAAATTCACTATGAGTTTAGTATTTAAAATAAAAGTTATATTATAAATTAATTAGAGGGTGCACTTCTTCAACATGAAGAAAATGAAACACTGCCTCTTTCTCTCGTCAAAGGGTTATATTGTTGTTTGTTTTTTAAATCTATATATATAAAGCAAAAAGCAGAGAATGGTAAAACATTCAAAATATCAGAAAATATCATTAGTTAATGCAAATATTAAGAATTAAAATTATTAATTAAATGAGGATAATATGGTAAATTCACACTTTTTCATATTTAAAAAAAATTAAAAGAAAAAGAAAAATCAAATAATGGATTCTATTTTTATGGAACACAACTACCCATTATCTTTTTTAATTCTAAAATAAAATAAATTTATATTAAAAAAAAGTCTTTCGCAGACGCAAAAGCGCGTGCGAAGAGTTTAGTTATTATAAAGTCAATAATATTATTTGGGTTACAGGTGTTATAAGAATATGCGTCTGTATATATTAATATATATTACTTTTTTATGTTTGGGATAATATATATTACTTTCAATGTCATTTAAATACGCAATGTAATTTACTGTACAATTACGTATGTTTTGCCCTTACATGCCTGCATAATTTGTGAAACTTGTCGTTAACGTCGGCAACTACGAAGAACGCTATCAGGCGCATTCGCTCATGAATTGTTTCGAAGTTAACAAGAAATTACGAAGAAGACACCTGCTGATTATATATTTAATAATATTTCTTGCGTATGAATGCATGAGTGTGCTGCCGGCTTTATTGTATTAATCTCTGGAGAGTTGTCATTGTTTGTAATGCAATTTAATGAACTTATAGTAATATTTCCTCTTGTATAATGGTCAAAGGATGAAAATATTGAAACTGATGTTTACGGAAATATCAACTTCCGGGAACTTTAGAAACCTAGAAACAAATTAGTCCCCCCACTCCAAAACTGTATTCATATTGGAATGAAATTTTTACAAGTATTGATGAGTAGTTGTTTTGTTGGGGCGAGAAGGCTTAAATTTAGTAGATTTTCTTTACATTTGTTTTCCAAACCCAATATATATTTTAAATGATTAAATAAGTTTTTTGGGGGGGTTGGGTTGGGTTGGGTGGGAAGAAGGCTTAAATATAGTAGCTTTACATTTGTTTTCCAAACACAATATATATTTTAAATGATTAAATAAATTCGTGCAAAAACTTACCGCTCACTAGATGGGAGCTGACCGGTCACCCAACTACATTAAAAAGCTCACTGTCATTGGGATTCGAACCTGAGATTTCTAGTCTGCAAGTCAAGACCTTTTTTCACTAGGCTAGACCTCGTTGGCAATTAGATTAAACACTTATTGTGCTTGTAAAAGTATAAAAATATAGGTATGAAGCCTTTATTCATCACTTTCACTCTCCACCTGCAGGTAGTGAAAAAATGATTTTCTAGACTAGAGAGGAGTAGGATGCGGTTTCTGCTGAAGCTTGATTTTTGCTTATGCATTCTCTCTATTCTAGCTAGGGAGCTTCTCTTGGGAGCCTCTTTGAGATGCTTAAGTCCATTACTCCGTGTGGATGGAATGATCTAAAATGAGGGACTTGAATCTAAATTTTAGTTAACAATTCATAACAAACAACACCAAACCATTTTTTTTTTTCTGTAGCATTTTACAAAAGGGTGATATCATCGAGGGTTGTGAAAATGGCTTCACCTTTCTCTTCAATAATGCAAACTTGCTGCTGGAATTATTGAAAATCCGTCCGCCATCATGCCACTTTGATTAAGTTCCAGGCATACTGCATGCCTCAATATTGTTTATTCAAAAATTACATACAACCTTTTTTTGTTTATCACTTAAAAAAGAGAAGATTTATGTGATTTATATGAAAAGGATTGATTAATTAACTACGAAAAAAAAATTCCAGCAGATAAAGTACATTACATAGTCCGTTTCAAGGATTGGCGACTTACCCATTCAGTGACTTTCGAATTTAAAACATCTTTCATGATTGAGAAGACAAGTATCAAGGATTATTAATAAAACTAGGTTTTTTTCCCAGTTATCAAAAATAGTTCTTTTATTTTATTTTATTTTTGCCTTTTCCGAGAGAAGATGAGAGATTATATACAGTAACATAACTTCAACACGTTCAATTCCATTAATTTGTGAAGGCTCAGATACTGTACCTAGCCAGCCTGAATAAACACAGCACCCAATAATTTCACGCTGTTCATTCCTATCCTGTTACAGCAAATTCTAAATTATCAATTCTGAGTACCCAAAAACAAAAAACTATCTATCTACATACATCCAGAGAATGGGGTAGCTGTCGAAAGAAAAAGCTTTGCTTGTCTGCCTACCTTGGAACTACCCTAGTCGACCAGAGAAAATTCTTCAAGGAACACTGAAAAGCCCCACATACAACTCTCGAAAGAGTGAAGAGAAACGAATGAGCATAAATACCAGCCACCAGAAATGCTACAACATATGTTTTCAGGCCTTTGGAAACAGAGAATTTTCTCTCCATCTTAATGGAGAAGAAAGTCTCCAGATAAGACAAATCACCCACAAGAAATGGGACAGACTTCATGTTCTCGACCTCTTCTGCTTTTGAGATACAAAACGAACCCCTTGCTTCCCGAGTTCCAGAGATTTGACTTTGCCATCATCCTGAGTAACAGATAGCGTTGATGTGCCGTCGATTATGTCAGTCACCACTCCCTTGTGCCTGGATAAAACAGGCGGGAAAATAAATAAATCAGCACAAAATATATGCACCTAAACCCTTAACACATAAAAGATGCAGGAAAATGCTCCTACTAAAGTAACTTAGCACCATCGACAGCCACATATCCATGAGAAAGAAGCATCTAACAGAGATATGAACGACATTCATCTTCATGAACAAATTGTTGACATCACAACTCCAAACACCTTTCATATGTTAGCTTATATTTTACGCAACTTTTGGTTTCTTGCAAATACAAGGCAAGATATTGTAAAAAAATCATGACTAATCATCGTCCTTCTAAGTGACCACATCCTCTTTCAAGAATAGAACAGCATATACAACCGCATCATGAATTCTACTTTTTTTTTAAAAAAAATTGTCAAAAATTCTACTTAAAAATTTAATGAGTAAAACTTGCACACAATGGATCAAGTGACGCACTTTATCTAAACAATCAATTTTTCCATATAAGAGATGCAATATATATATAAAACAACAAACCCACCATGAATTGTCAGATAGCTGCTGAACTTCAACTCGCTTTCCAATTGCATCTCTGCCCAACTTTTTCAATATCCAATTAGCATCCATGATCTCATCCATTAGATTATCTTGAACTGATTGTGTCTTATCATCATTCTCACTAAATGACGTTTTCTCCATAAACGGTGACGGTCTCTTTCTTTTCGACCGTTGGCCCTTAACGTAACTTTTTTCTTCCTCATGATAGGAAGAACTCTGATTTTCGAGATTAGGTTTCTTAAGCTTAAACTTCAATAAAGGTTTTGTATCCTTGGCCGGCGAATGTGAAACAGGTGTCTGACCAGGATCATCATTGCTTTCAGTACGTATATTAGACCTGCTTTGTGATTGCTTGCGGGAGTATACCCTCTCGTTTCTCATAGTCGGGACATCACCTACAGGCACAACCGCGGTCGTGCCCCCTTCAATGCTTTTTCCGGATGAACCATGTACAGGCTCTGGAGGAACGGCTTCGTATCCATCAACCTTATCTCCTCTAGCAAATTTAGGGTTAGAATCAGAAGCTCCTGACCTAACTTTTCCCAACTTTATAAAATTTCCTTCTCTTCCAGCAACCTTTGAACCTTTCAAATGGCCAGAATAATCGCTTCTGTCTACATACAGAACATCATGAAAATTTCAGTTGCATAACGTGAGAAAACATCAAATTTAACCAAATTACTAATCAATGGGAAGGATCAAACTTTTCCAGTATAATAAAGGATTGCACTCCTAGTACCTTTAGCATCACTGATATTAGCAGAACCATCATGTCTATCCACCATACGACTTGCCTTCTGCTGGCTCACATCTTCACTGCCTGCCCATGAATAGGAACTGAGGTCATATATGTGTGTGTATATACAATACATATATAGAGACACAGAGAGAGAGAGAGAGAGAGAGAGAGAGAGAGAGAGAACAGTGTTAAAAGCTTACAAAATAGCATGAAAGCTAGGAGCCTAACACTAGGTATAAAGAGAAACTATTTATCAATTTTTTC